GGTCAAATGCCAATCGCGCGACCATCGCGCGATTCGCGCGACGATCGCGCGATTGACATGAGTCCCATCATGACCAATCGCTCCAATCGCGCGATGGGCGCGATCACTCCCGTTGTGGCTGGTGCGCCCCTCTCGATCGATAGCTCAGTCAACGTATCGATCGAGAGGGGCGCGCCAGCCACGAGCCACAACGGAAGGAGTGATCGCGCCCATCGCGCGATTGGAGCGATTGGTCATGATGGGACTCATGTCAATCGCGCGATCGTCGCGCGAATCGCGCGATGGTCGCGCGATTGGCATTTGACCGATCGCTCCAATCGCAGACTCTGACATCGGCCAATCCCGAGGTTCACGCACAGCCAAAAAATGATTCGCGCCTGCTCGCCGAAACGCGAAAAAGTCGCTTTCTGTCCTAGTGGCCGATGTCAGACTTTGCGATTGGAGCGATTGTGCACAAATTGCAGGAGCGACGGGAGATTTACACGGCCGACCAACGAATTCGGCGTCCATCAGCTTCGTAAATCTCCCGTCGCTGAGCATCGCTCAAGCGATCCGTCGCTCCTGCAATTGGTGCAAAATCGCTCCAATCGCAAAGTCTGACATCGGCCAGTGGGTGAACATACTCTTCAACACCCCGTCCGAAATGAAGTTTACTCTTCCATTCTGAGGCGCCCTCCCCTCCAAACTGACACGCGTCGCATAGTCAGAATGTGGCAAAATTTTTGGCAGGGTGAAACTCCAGTTCGGGGGGGGGGCACTCCATTTTTTCTCCAATACTCAAGATAAGGATTAGAGGGCTCACGACACGTAATCGACTCATTTAAAGTAGACTTCTGATAAATATCGGTGTGTAATGGGTGAGAAACCCTGAAACGTTTTCACATTTCCGCCTGCCATGACCCAAGGGAACGGTCCTGGACCAGGAGAAAGGACACCTCCGCAAAGGGCTAAGGGTGCAGGAGCTCCAGGGTGGATCACCTGTGCAGAAAAGTGGATGGGATGTGGGCAGGTAGTGTGGAATGTAGGACATCCACCGGTCCTTATCAAAAGTACGCTCGAAATGAGTCGTTCACTTATTATCTTATCCGTAGTGTTCGATAGCCCAAAGAACTGCTCTCTAGTACTTACGATAGCAATGGAGTGCCCCCCCCCCTTTTCCCACCCGCCCCCCGAAGCTGGAGCTTTCACCATCTTTTGCATTGTTCTTAGAAATGCCTCACCAGTACAAGATCGCCCGCCTAACCTAAATGCCAGTTTCGTAAGTAAGGAAGACTTTTTTACGAAGAAGATGTACATTGCAGAAAAGATGGCAATATGGTACAGCTCAAAACTTGATGTCAACAACTATTTATGAAGCCCTCGTTCTGGCGATATCGAGCCATTTAGAAACAGCAAGGAAAGTACACAATTTTCGAGATTTTCGGTACATATGGCTTAGGAAAGCGCCCCGTGGAACGGTGCGGCAGGATGCACGCGGATTAGCTGCTCGTTTCCGAGACTTAAACAGTTAAACAGAAGAAGAGGAGTGAAGAGTGGCTCACGCCTACCCTAGTCTGACAATTTTTCGTTTCCTAGTGGAGCCCTTCAAGGGCCTTACGACGCTGCCGTCCCCCGCCCCCCCCCCCCCCCCCAGAGCACGCGCCTGATTTTCTCTATGACATAGTAGATTGCGATTTTTAGAAAAGCTCATTCTTATATGAAATTCTCGAATGTTTTTCTTGAGTGGGGAACGCGGAGAATTGCGGTGGTGGTGTAGTGGGAACACATGTATACATTCCAATCTTTCAGCAGATTGCATACCAGCCTTTTACACCATGACTTTTGCCCTAGCCCCGTCCCTGTCTATCTTTACCCACTTCCTGTGGTGCTTTGACAAACCGTTGAAGAATCCTGCCTGGGACGCAACATATGTGCTATACAAGTAGGGTGGCGCGGCCCATTTTGTCGAACAAAGGGAAGCTCGCCACCCATATAGTGTCGCCAACATACACTAAGCACCAAAAATACTCATTTCACAGTGTAAACTAACTCACTGGGTAACCCCTTCATTCTTACGATCATACGTTATCAAAACCTCTGCTCAATTTCCACGTGCCATCTTACTTGTTTGTCAATGTGCAGAAAATCGGAAAAAACAAGTAAATGCTGAACTAGGCAAAACATTAATGCAATAACCTTGGCCATTACTACAACAAGCACTTAAGCGGCAATGTGAACATTTGCGTTCGTTCGGCGGCTGCGTCGCGGCTCCGCTGGGGAGTGCGTTTGTCCTTGCTTACGCATGGACGCGACACGTTGCTCAATGCGTTTCGCTGGTAGCGTGCACCCAAAGTTCGAACTCATTGGTACACTATGAGCCGAGAACATAAGGTGATAGGGAATGCTCGGGAAAGGTTCTGCCCCATTGAGTGGTTTTAAAAAAAACGTGGTTGAGCTTTGACCGGTTTTAATCTCATCGACTGATCACCTACTCTCCGAATTTGCCCCACACAGGTGCTGTTCCAGTGATCACAACAGACACATTCATGTCAAGAAAGAATGCAAGAAAATTTCAGGCGAATGATTCCTTTAACATATTTTTTCGACCTTTCTTTTAGGCCTTCAGGGGACCATTCAGCGAAAGTGGAACACTGTATTGCAGTGCAGGGGCGGTATTCAATCCTTCCCCTAGGGGGATATATCCCCTTTCTCTGGTTCAATCCTTTGGGGTGACAAAAAAAAGAGTTGCGTCATAGGACCTAGCATACCTCTGTGTTTCTACCTGCCAGACAGTTAGAGCAGCGCTACTACCCTCCACTGATGAAGCACTCTTTTCCCTGAGGGGTCGCGCTGCTCTAACTGTCTGGCAGGTAGAAACACAGAGGTATGCTAGGTCCTATGACGCAACCCTTTTTTGTCCCCCCAGAGGATTGAATCAGAGAAGGGGGATATATCCCCCTGGGGGAAGGATTGAATACCGCCCCAGGTGAGAGCTCCTATAGCACGCGAAAAGCCGTCTTGAAAAAGCGCGGACTGCCCTGAAAGTACCGACTTGTAAGTGAAACCCGACGCTGGACGCTGGTCCGATTTCACAAAATTTTACGAAGAACTCTATTTATATAGTAGGTGTGTCAAAACGTCTTCTCCTCCTCCAGCGCCAACGGTTATGGTGAGTGTTATAGATAGAGAACAAAAAAAAACTAATGGTAAGAGAACTTCATCAGTTTTAAATTACATAGATCGGTAAAACATCATTAAAACGATCAATGACGAATAATTGCACAGAACATTAAACACAAAGTGAAGAAGGGAATGAGTAAAGTGATACCAGCATTGTTACATAGAAAGCCGAGAGACGAAATAGCTACCAAGCGGAATAACGGGAAGCAACTCTGTGGCAGCCACAGATGGCCAAGATTTGGTCACTGAGTCGCGGCCCTGTCTTCGTGTTGCCGCGTGGATCGGTTCCTTTTAGCATGACCTAACGTTTTTCGTCTGAATTCGCCATCACACAGGAATTTGTTGCCGAAGTTGACTGGCGATCCGTTCCGCTATTTTAGGATTTTCTGCCTAAAACACATATTTAACAATAATCTTAGACGGCACATCTGTTCACTCACATTTTGTTGCTCTAGAGCCTCGTATTCCTTCTGCCAAGTTTTCACGTTCTCACATAAAGTGCGACTGTCTCTCTCGAGAATTCTCACCTGAATGATAGTGGTAGACGAAGAACATAGTCATCAAGCAAATTAACTGACCATGTGAACGAGATCGGCCACACAATACTTTTTCTCATTTTCCTTCTCAGATCAAACAATAAGGAAGCGATCGTACAACTCATTACGCAGTTTCCTGGCCAAATCGATACTAGGGGTGAAATCCACCTTGAAAAGGAATAACAATGATAAAGAAAAGACGGATTTCAGAAACCAAAATCGACCCGTTTGGTACCTGCTTTCCTGCAGCTTGGAGCAAAGCCAATCGTCTCAGCTGTTTGCCCACGTCCATTACCATTGCGGTCAGAACAAAGGGTTTGGCGCATAGGGTCATCAAATACTAAAACCAGCAAAGCTATGTGTATGACTGAGCTTCACATATTCATATAAGTTGAAAACACCAAGCTGCATGAAGACGGGTTATCAATGGCTATTTAAAGGCAAAAGATGGGCTCAATATGGGGTGTTATGGTGACATATCACTTCTGGAAGTGGGCGGGCATAGCGCCTGCCAGGCGGCTATAGCGAACAATGCATCACCTGGGGCTTTATTGCCGCGCCGTTTGGGATTCTGAGCGTGGCAACGTCTTTAAGGGTGCGTAACTACACACAGAGATGATAAAGAGATTGGTTTGGTGGCCTAAACCTGACGCTGGCCTCTAACCATTCACGCCGGTAGCAGCCATTCCCAGCTAACTGTTGCCTACCGTTTGGTCGTAATTTTTTTTGCATATCTTTTTTATCAGAACACTCAACGTCTCACAGATTATTAAAATTAGATCAGCCTTCTATATACTCGATATCCGAAGTTGGGGTAGGTGTGTCACCGGAAGTGACGTGCACTTGATAGAAGTTGCGTGGATAAGCTGTTTCCAGCATACATCGCTGATATCAGCAAAGCATGCTGGAAACAGCTTATCCACGCAACTTCTATCAAGTGCACGTCACTTCCGGTGACACACCTACCCCAACTTTCGGATATCGACTGTATGCAATTGTGGTTGTAGTTTCTACGTCTGCCTGCTCAAGTAAACAAATTAACAAAGATTACAAAAGGCATTTATTACCTGTGTTATTCCTTGCAGCAGATTTTGTTGCATTGTCGACAAAGGTCGTTGGATATCATCTCTGTAAAGACCGGATCTGAACTCAAAAAATGTAAAAGGCGTTCCTATTGATGGTCGCAGACTGCTCACAGGCGTTTGAGAGGGCAGCCTACACTTGTTTTTGACTTGCTGAGGTTCTGTCGAAATCAAAATAGCCGAAATATTATCCCAGTGAATTTTCGTAATCTAGTTTCCTTAACGTGGACGGGTCTGACCAAGGCTGGTGTCAGAGTCCGCGATCCGTCGCAGGCTTCCGCTGCATTCGCTGATTTTTCGTTAATTTCCAACCAGGCGATTCAACGCGATCCGGTCACGCTCGGAATCACAAGCGCCCGATAAATACTACAAGGTGTTCTCCAATCCTGTCGGGAATTCTGCTTGATAGATTGCTGAATGACAACTGCTCATGATTCCACTTATTTCATATTAAGTGTTTCAAATGTTCAAATGGGACATTTGCGAACCGCGAGCGTAAATTCTTTGCGATTTTGGCAGGTTTCACGCAAATCGGGAAAATCGCGTGAATCGCGCAAATCGCGAAAATCAGCGAAAGCTGCGACGGAACGCGGACTCTGACACCAGCCTAATTATTCACTTGAATATACTATGTCAAGATTGAAGAAGACCTGGAACGAGAAGTATGATACACGTTGCAAGTATGTGGAGAAGGCGGACTAATAGTCCTTCTAGGATAGATTTCATTTTCCTCGCATGATGACCAGAATGCTAGCTATTTCGGTCAGTTATACAACACATGAAGAAAGAATTGCTCGCTGCGAAAAGAGTACTGCTCAAAAAGATATTTTGATATGAAGTAATGCTTCCCCATCATATTGAAGTAAGAGCGACCTCTTTCCAACCAAACTATTGGGAACTAAGGAAGCGTTCGTTCACTAACTCCTCATTTCAGATATGGCCAGAACCAATAAAGACGCTCATCATGAAACGACGGTGACTGTTTTGTGCATAGTTAACAGAAACTTAAATGACCTCTTCAATAAAAAACTGTGCATATTTCACAGGAATAATACTTGGGCTCCACCACTCGATGAAAGTATGCTCAGAAATGTGGTAAGCACAGTAAATTGAAAAAAACAACATTAAAATCATCAAAATTTTCCCTCACACCTCACAATGGAGACCGACGGTTCATTTTGTAGCACAGGACGATTCATTTGTACATTCCTTTGTTGTTGTTGTTGTTGTTGTTGCTGCTGCTGTTGAAACTGTTGTTGCTGTTGCTGTTGAATATGGTAGTCATGATAAGATGGGTTGTTTCCAACTCCGTTTTCGCTCATGTAATGCTCATCGGCCATTCTAAACCACAAAAGTATCACATAACAAATTCTTATCTTCATAGTGGCAAAGTGTGCTTTCTTATATACGCATGGGAAATAGGTAGGTAGGTAAAGGTTTATCGTTTACTGTCGTGTCGCACTGCGGTCGATAACTGACCATAACAATTACATTCAGTATGTTTGATAATCAGAGCACCCTTGTGACCTAGATGGCCTATATCGGGCTACACGTCAAAACTACAATATACGATAGCGCTTCAACGGGAACTATCTCACATACGATTATGAGTATGAATGTGTCAGGCTCGCTAACATTTGGTCGAGGTCTCAACAACTACTTGAACATTAATCATGCCTATTCATCACAATGTGGATGGGTAATCTTTTGCTGAAGACGAAGCTGAACTATGATAGATCGCATCTGAGGCTGCCACAGGTCGCCATCCAACAACTGCTTGCTTGTCGAATTCCACTCTATGACGTCTGCAATTTCGATTACTACCGCGTCATCGTCCCCATGCGGACCCATCCTTGGACTTAAGTGTGTCCACCGAGTGATGAAGTTCTGAGCTAGATCTGAAATCAAAACTAGATAGTCAGCACGTTGGGCTGGTGGCCGATGACGACATCCTCGGGATGACGAAGGTCGTGCCTTCTGGGATCCATCGCCGTCAATTCGAGTGCTGAAAATTCGTGAAAGATAGCACGCCGCTCCACTAGATTTGCCGGGAAGGACTCAAAGTAGTCTTAAGACCGTAACTGTCCAAAATGTCTGTCCATGAAATAACAGGTCAAGGAGAAATCCATCGATGAAATCAGCAACGGTGAACGCAGTAGCCAGAAATGTATGCTCAAGAAATACTATATCTTGAGAAGGTGGAGCCATAAATAATGAACTCGAACCGAATAACAAATTCTTGATGAACTGCGGAACAGTAGGAAACGATCTGACGCGTAAAATTGAGGGGCAATGGGCAAATCGCCACTATACAGAACAACACAGTCTGATATCCGCACGGAGAAACCCCATAGCCATACTCGCTGGCAATATATTCTTTTAGAAATCGTTGACTCGGGCGTACCATGTACAAGAATTGCCGTTCTAGTACAACGATTGATCTGCTATATTGGAGAAAAAGGTTAACAGTTATCCTCGATGGAGAAACGGAGAGAATGGAGCGCTTAATCCTCCTTGTGAATGGATAGGTTCCAAAAAACTGTCCACCTCGTTTCAAGAGGGACCATGAATAAACTCTCCGTTCCTCATAATTTCTTCAGACCCTTCTTCTGATGAAAACAACGAACGCGATAGTCGCAATGTATCGCGAAATATCATGGCGCCGGAAAACCGCTGTGAGCGGTCGGGAACCAAAATCCAGAATAAATGCCGAACTAGTGGGTTCTATTGGGCGGATTTGATACAGCCCCTACCTCACAGATGTACCTGTTCCAAAGGATAGGCCGTGCTGGCCTAGCTGACGTGAAGAGGTTACCTCTCCGCTTCGTATCTCCGTAGGGTGGGAGGGTGGGGTCACTTACGAAACGAAAACCGGAATGGGGAGGGATCCTCCCGACGGCGGGGTCAGCATGACCGCTACGCGAACGCTCCGCGGTCTGCTACCCCGCAGTATCCGTCCCGTCGGTACGGGACCCGTCTTGGCGACGACGGTTGCGCTTACTACAAAACTCCATTTTCATCTCCGATACTCTACGACGAAACTTCCGTTTTGTATTACACGCAACCAAATAATCGGAACAAAGTTAAAGCCCGGAGGGGGTAGAAAAGGGGGTAAAGGAAAATTAAGCAAGTTGGACCCGGAGTATAAGCCCTAGTTGGCTTGGTAAGCTAGATAGAAGGATCAACACTTTGGATTCCTGGTGGCACCATAGTCCGAGTTCTAGCCGGCGAAGTGCTCGATTGGGGGTAAATCATAGGGTCTGAATTGTTCGCATCAACTGACTCATGCAGTCAAAGACCAAATAATTGGCTAATCTCGAAAAACAAAGCAAAAACCGCATCATCTCTTTGGTGGCTGACCTTTTGTCCGTCAGCGAAGAGCGACAGTCATAGTGGCCACTTTTTAAACTCAGGACTATTCTGGTAATTTTGACGAATTCTTCGCATTGTTGTGCGAAATGACCCATGTTGCAGTCACTGATGTCAGCACGCCTCAACCTGATGTATTGCAAAGCACTTCGCTCCCCTAGTATGCAGATCTCTAGATCTCAGGCGATACATCTCGGCCACAGCAACGCCAAATGGCCCAAGGACTCTCCTGATAATCTTTCACGTGACTGTGCGGAACTCGCCCACAGCCGCCAGCGGTGTATATATGGTTCGAAAATTATTGCGAAACGCTTCGCTTCATTATTATCCAAGTAGAATACGGCTGATCTTGGCTATGGTACGCCAAATGACTTCAGAACTTTCCTGATAATGTTCTCGGATTTTTCGCAACTCTACGGAACTGGCTCACGGCCGTCAACCTGTGTGTTCAGAAAAATACTGCGAAAACGTTCCGCTCCATTATTCTGGCTGAATACAGTAAATCTCGGCCGTATAGGCCAAATAACTTCATAAGTTTCCTGATAATCCTGACGGATTCTTCGCAACTCTGCGGCTTCATTATTCTAGCTGAATACAGTAAATCTCGGCCACAGTAGGCCAAATAACTTCATAAGTTTCCTGATAATCCTGACGGATTCTTCGCAACTCTGCGGCTTCATTATTCTAGCTGAATACAGTAAATCTCGGCCACAGTAGGCCAAATAACTTCAAGACTTTCCTGATAATCCTGACGGATTCTTCGCAACTCTGCGGCTTCATTATTCTAGCTGAATACAGTAAATCTCGGCCACAGTAGGCCAAATAACTTCATAAGCTTTCCTGATAATCCTGACGGATTCTTCGCAACTCTGCGGCTTCATTATTCTAGCTGAATACAGTAAATCTCGGCCACAGTAGGCCAAATAACTTCAAAACTTTTCTGATAATCCAGACGGATTCTTCGCATAACTGTGCGGAAACTGGCTCAGGGCCGTCCACTGTGGATAAATGTATGAAAATTTACTGCGAAACGCTTCAGAGACCCTATTGGGAATGTGTAAAGCGCCTCATGGAGCTAACCGTAAACGGCCCAGTCCACCTGAAGTAAATTTGTGTTGCCGCGCAGTGAAAGCTCCCAAAATAGACAAAGGTATGGTGTGACTCGCGCTAGGTAATAACCCGTTGGAAAGGAACTACGAGGACTGAAACGTTAAGATGTAACTGAAGCGTGAGGCGCGCGCGGGACAACCCTAGACTGAGAGAGGTTTGCGGACTACTTGATTTTTCCTCAATGGTCCTGCCGCGATGGCTAGAGCACAGACGATTAGAGAACGGGTGAATGCCCTAGGACTAAGCCTTGGAGAGGAGAGGGACCCACGAGAGAGCTGAAAAATGAGGAAGGCGAGTTTTCAATCTCGAACAATAAGATGTCGAAATCCTTGCAATCCACTTTCT